ATTCTGACCGGCTCCAGGTTGCCCCAGCCTTCCATCCTTCCAAGATCGGTAAAATAGAGACCCAGATAGTTGGGGGCCACAGGCTGACTCTGTAAACCGCTTAGAGAGGGCTCTAAAAGCACTGTGAAGCAGTAATAATGATCTGGTTTGGTTCATATAAATATTTACATTTGACGAAGAAAAACATTTAAAGGTTGAAGATGAAACATTGTACTTGATCAAGGAAAGAAACTTGATCCTAAATGGATCAATTCTAAAGTCCTCCCTACATTAACTCAATATCGTACTGAACCAGTGTCAGCCTCTGCTTTTATTTTTTGACTAAAATTTCCACCTGAAACTCAAGCATGGAAATAACTTCACAGCTGGACATACCACCAAAAAGATACTAAAAAAAAAAAAAACCACCAACAACATCCTGTTTTAATTATGAGAGTTGTTTGCAGACATTTTGCTTAAGTGCCTATAGAAACCTGGACTTAGACTAAGTCTCCAGCAATTCTGGCTGTGTTTAATGACAACTAGGAAGCCAAATCGAACTCTGCAACATAAAAAGCGTGATGCCCGAGTTTCCACATGCAATAACTGTAGCTATCTTGAGTGATTATTTCCACAACAGGCCAAGTTTATATACACTGAGCCAGAAACTATGGTTTGGAAGCTAAATTGACTCTATTCGAGCAATAGACTAAACCAAACTGAAACAGATCCCAGATGGCTTAGTGCAGGGTTTCCCAACCTCGGCAAGGTGTGTGGACTTCAACTCCCAGAATTCCCCAGCCAGCACGAGAAATTCTGGGAGATGGTTAGGTGCTGACTGGAGAATTCTGGGAATTGAAGTCCACCCATCTGAAAGTTGCCACAGCTGAGAAACACTGCCTTAGTGCAACGTATAAAAAGGATGACACTCTTGTTCAGTTCTCACATCACGCCATAAGCCACTATTTGCCTTAATCAAAACTTCTGGAAGAATCCACCCAGCATGGCTGATGGGTCCATGGATCCTTTAAAGTCATAAAACTTGGAGGCTTCTTACACATCCCCTATGCTGAAAGCTTAACCAGCCACATAATGGCCTATTGAACGAATCACGATTAAATAAACCCTTAGTAAGATGTACAAACTGGAACAGCGATTGGCAGTGTCCAAAGTAACAATGTTTTGGGCGCATCCAATCAGCAAAGAGAGAGAAAAAAAATCCCAACACCAGACAATGGTTGCCCTATGTCCCAAAACAAGAAACAACCATTTATAGTTGGCATTGATGCCATCAGCATCGTGGCATTGTGCGAAAGCTGCTTCCAGCCAGCCCAATGGCCCTGTAACCACCTTTCTCCATTTCTATAGGATCTTTATATCCCGGCCTAATCAAGCATTCATTCATTGCTTTTTCCAACCCTTGACACGACCCCCAAACAAGTAAGCTTTCATTTTTCTTCTTTTCAGAAACAGTTGACCTTTCGGGGGGGGGGGAAAAACGCAGTGCAGGGGGAGAAAATCCATCCTTTAGGATCCTGCATGTAAAACAAAATCTGAATTGTGTTCTCTGAGGAATGGAGTAGCCCGAATCGGACCAGGATCCCTACAGCTGGAGTTGCCCAAGGGCTCCCTTATAACTGCAGAAAGTCCAAAATTGGTGGCATTTCTCCAGACAAGCTGCTGCTTTATAAATGAGAGAGGCGTCTGGAAAGGGGTCTTTGGCCCACCCCGTCTGGAGAAAGCCAACGGGGGGGGGGAGAGCGTGGATGGGGGCGAACGGCTGGAATGTTTGGAAAAGGCATTGGAAAGCAAGCGGGAATGGGGCTATCGATACTCAAAAGGAGGAGAAGGAAAGGAAAGGCAGGGATCGGTTGGGTGCGCTTGAATTTTATTTTATTTATTTATTTTTATAAGCAACTCGAGGCAGCAAACAAGTCTAATAGTCCCTCTTCCTCCTGTTTTCCCCTCAACAACAACCCTGTAAGTTGGCTTGGGCTGAGGGACTGATTCAAAGTCACCCACCTAGCATATATGCCTAAGGCAGGACCAGAACTCTGTCTCCTGGTGATTGGCCCAAAGTCACCCAATTGGCTTTCGTGCCTAAGATGGAACTAGAACTCTCAGTCTCCTGGTGATTGGCCCAAAGTCACCCAATTGGCTTTCATGCCTAGGATGGAACTAGAATTCACAGTCTCCTGGCGATTGGTCCAAAGTCACCCAATTGGCTTTCATGCCTAAGATGGAACTAGAACTCACAGTCTCCTGGCGATTGGCCCAAAGTCACCCAATTGGCTTTCATGCCTAAGATGGAACTAGAACTCACAGTCTCCTGGTGATTGGTCCAAAGTCACCCAATTGGCTTTCATGCCTAGGATGGAACTAGAATTCACAGTCTCCTGGTGATTGGCCCAAAGTCACCCAATTGGCTTTCGTGCCTAAGATGGAACTAGAACTCTCAGTCTCCTGGTGATTGGTCCAAAGTCACCCAATTGGCTTTCATGCCTAAGATGGAACTAGAACTCACAGTCTCCTGGTGATGGGTCCAAAGTCACCCAATTGGCTTTCATGCCTAGGATGGAACTAGAACTCACAGTCTCCTGGTGATTGGTCCAAAGTCACCCAATTGGCTTTCATGCCTAAGACGGAACTAGAACTTTCCATCTCCTGGTGATTGGCCCAAAGTCACCCAGATGGCTTTCATGGCTAAAGTTGAACTAGAACTCTCCATCTCCTGGTGATTGGCCCAAAATCACCCAATTGGCTTTCATGCCTAGGATGGAACTAGAACTCTCAGTCTCCTGGCGATTGGCCCAAAGTCACCCAGCTGGCTTTCATGCCTAAGGCAGGACTAGAACTCACAGTCTCCTGGTTTCTAGCCTGCCGCCTTAGCCACTAGAGACCAAAGTGGCTTTTGCAATCTGTCACCACCATCTTGACTTTTCTGACCGTGCCCTGGGGACACCCTTGGTTGCGACAGTTTTAGGGGAATCTCTGCCTGGATAACTAAGCAAAGACAGCTTAATTGCAGCTTGACCACAAAACACAACTTCTCCAGAAATGAATAGGTCCGGGCATCTCTGCTTTTGCAGATGTGCTGGGCTACAGATCCTTTTATTTTCGGCGAGGAATTAAAAAAACAGATCCAATCTCAGAAATATGGATTAGCAGGCTTTGATGTTATGCAGACGAAGGAAAGTTGCCTGGCCTTTAGACTGTTGTGCAAATCCAGAGGAAGGTTGTTCTTTAACGCATCAGCCTATTAATTCAGAGGCAGTGGTGTGTGTGTTTTTAAAATATATATGTGTGTGTGTGTGAAACTGGACAGAAACTGCAGTGACTGCAACTCTGGCTGTTCAGGAGAACAAAGGCCAAACTCCTTTTTATCCCTAATCATAGTCAACAATCAACAGAAGAAGGAATGTCTGGAGAAAAAGGCCTAGTTGGTTAGTTATTTTCAATTTTTCAACGCTGGCTTATCGCAATCGAGAAGATCCCGAAAAAGATGCCAGTCAAGCTGATCTTTCACAAGCCAAGCAGAATAAGAAGTTTTGAGTTTTGAGCAATCAATTTGATTCAATCCAGGCCACGAGAAGCGAGATCAAATTCTGAGCGTCGGAAATGACAGGCACAGAATGGACCAAAAGAAAAAAGCTCAGGCAATCTGGTTCCCAGCCCTTCCGCGGGCAGAAATAAAGACATAAAGGTTGTGCGGCAGGGTCCAGGGGGGAGGGTGTGGGGGGAGGGGGAGGAGAATTGGGAGGGGGGTTTTTCTAAAATCTAGGGCTCAGACTCAAATGCACAGAACATGATTCCCATTCAAACCATCACTTTTCTTTCCAGAAAACTATGAATAGCAGGCACCCAATATTCGCCCACAGGATACCAGTGGCCCCGTGACTTCAACTGGACTCCAGCTCCCATCATCCTGACCCGGAACAGAGTGGCTGATTGGCACAGTGGCACCCTGGCCAGAGACGCCACTCAGCCTCTTCTGTTCTGACTTTGCAATTCATCCGGGGTCGCCCCTGACACGCTGATTCACCTACTCGCCGGGCTGTGTGCGTGTGCACACTAGTTGTGCGTGTGTGTGTGTGTGTGTGTGCGTGTGTGTGTGTGTGTGTGCCACAAAGAATCCATCCCCACCAGCCCACGACCATGGGGCTCACACACAGACACGCCACCCCTAAACCGGGCCAAGCGCGTTGACTGGTCCTTTCACCTTCTCCTGCCAAGCCGGATCTTTGGAACCGACCGAAGCGTGTTCACGACCCTCCCCCTAAAAAAAATACTTCCCAAACTGGGGGAGAGGGGATACTCGCCTGCCGCCCCCTTCCCGGGACTCTTACCTTGCCCAGCTCCCTCCTCGCCAGCTCCCCCAAGAATGACCGGCGTGAAATCTTGGAGAGACCCTCTGCACGCGCTCAGAGGCACTCTCCTCCGGCGCGGGACGGAGGAGGGGAAACCCCTCCATCTGCAACTCCCTCCTCCCCAGCACCCCCACCCCACCCAAAAGGCGCTCCTCCCGAAGAATGCCCGGCGTGAAATCTTGGGGAGACCCTCTGCACGCGCTCAGAAGCACTCTCGTCCGTCCCCGACACGGGGCGGAGGGCGACAGACGCCTCCATCTGCGGCTCCCTCCTGCCCAGCTCCCCCAAAAGGCGCCCTCCCCCCCCAAGAATGCCCGGCGTAAAATCTTGGGGAGACGCTCTCTGCACACGCTCAGAGGCACTCTGGTAGGGCCCCGGCGCGGGACGGAGGAAGGGGAAACCCCTCCGTCTGCAAGTCCCTCCTCTCCAGCCCCCCAAAAGACCCCCCCCCAAGAATGCCCGGCGTGAAATCTTGGGGAGACCCTCTGCCCGCGCTCAGAGACACTCTCGCCCGGCCCGGGTGTGGGACGGAGGGGGGGGTGGAAGAGAAAACCCCCTCCATCTGTCCCCCCCCCAAACGCCCAGCCACCTTTCGCCCGAGCGGCTTGCCCGGCTCGGATGCAGCGCCGGCCGGGGCCGGCCTTGCTGGCTCACCGCTTCCTCCTCCTCCGCCGCCTCCTCCTCCTCCTCCTCCGTCCTCGTCCATGGTGGGGCAGCGTCGCCCCCGGAGCAGCCCCGGAGCAGCAGCAGCTCGGCTCGGCTCAGCCGCTTGCAAAGCGCCGCTGCTGCAGCTGTTGCAGCTGTTGCAGCCGCCGCTGGCTGGCTGGCTGGCTGGCTGGCTCTGCCCGGCTCCCGTGCCCCGCCGCCGTCCCCGCGGAAATGGGCGGACGGCGCCTCGCCTCCCGCCGCCTCTGCCCCGCCTGCGCTGCTGCTCCGCTCCGCTCGGCTCCGGCCCAGGGGAGGGGAGGGGAGGGGAGCCCTTCAGGGCCATCTCCGGCCGCCGCCGCCAGGGGGCAGCCCAGGGGGACGCCCAGGCCAGATGGGGTCCCCCCCCAGCCCCTCTACCCCCCCCCACCCAAAGAGGATGCGGGTCCGGGGGACGATCAGCATCCTCCCCATCCATCATCCGTCTTCTTAGCATTCTTGAGCGGTACCCTCATTTGGGGGCTGGTTAACGGAAACCTGTGTGTGTGTGTGTGTGTGTGTGTGTGTGTGTGTGTGTGTGTGTGTGTGTGTGTGTGTGTGTGTGTGTGTGTGTGTGTGTGTGTTTCTGGCAGGGTGGGGGGGGGACATGGGATGTTGAATTCCGGCTGGACTTTGGACAGGAGCGGATTGTGGGGGGTTTTGCGCCACTGGGTGGCCCGTGGTTACGTGCCAAATTGGGGCCCCAAATCAGTCTGGCCAAGCAAGCCGTACAAAGAATTGGGCCTACCGTTGGGGGCAGCTGGTAGGGTGTGGTGTTGTGTTGTATGGCGCAGGCAGTCCTCAGCTTTGCGACCGTTCATTCAGTGACCGTTCGAAGTTGCAACGGCACTGGAAAAAGTGACGGAGGACCGTTTTTTTCACACTTGCATCCCCCCCCAGGGTCACGTGATCAGCATTCGGATGCTTGGCAACTGACTCGTATTTATGATGGTCGCAGTGTGGGGGGGGGAGGAGGTCCTGACAAGCAGTCCCTCTCCCCTCCCCCTTCTCTTTTTTTCCTCCCTCCCTCCCCTCCCTCTCTCCCTCTCCCTCTCTTTTTCTTTCTCCTTCCTCCCTCCAACTCTCTCCCTCCCTCTCTCTTTCTCTCTCTCTCCCTCCCTCTCCTATTTCTCCTTCTTTCTCCTCCTCCCTCTCTCTTTCCATCTCTCCCTCTTTCTATTCTTCTCTCCCTCTCCTCTCTCCCCTCACTCTCCCTCCTTCTCCCTCCCTCTTTCTCCTTCTCTCTCTCCCTCCCTCTCCCACTCTCTCCCTCCCTCTTTCTCTCTCCTTCTCCCTCCCTCTCTCCCACTCCCTCCCTCTCTTTCTCTCTCTCCCTCTCCCTCCCTCCCCCTATTTCTCCTTCTCTTTTCCCCTCCCTCTCTTTCCCTCCCTCTCTCCCTCTCTCTTTCTCCCTCCTTCCCCTCTCGCCTTCTCTCTCCCCCTCCCTCTCTCATTCTCTCCCTCCCTCTCTCCCTCTCTCTCTCTCTCTCAGGACTGCTCATTGTTTTGCATGTTAAAAACAGTGCAACGAAAGGCATCCATATTAACATCTCGGCTTTAGGCTTTACGAGGCCAAAACTTTGTGCTTGAGCAGTGAGTCAGCCGTCTGCCGAGGTTAAGACGTGGGAGATCTTCAGTCAATACTGACACTCTTATTTTCCAACCGTGGTTTCGTGGTCTCCGTAGACCACCTACGTGCTGCGCAAGTTCTCACATTCTTCTGCTGAAGAACATCTGCTGGAAGCCCCTTCGAAAATAACTTCATGAAACTAATCGAATCAACCAAAGAAAACCTTGCATGCATACCACAGTCCTTACAATACAACTTCAAAGTGAATAATTCTGATCATTTAAAAACAAAAACAAAAAAACCCCACCAGGATGAGAGGTTGAGGAAAATCCTGGACATTTATTTTACAAATACAACTTGCCCAAATGAGATGACTTGGTTCTTTGATCCTGGGTTAAAAAGCAAAACAAAACCTTCTTTGAGGTCAGCAAATGCTGGAAACAAGCCTAGATACCTCCTTCAGATGTTGCATGTTGGTTTTTATCAGCCCACCCTCTACCTCATCCTCAAAAACCACTTATTCCTGATTGTCTATGGAGATTCTCCATCATCCAGATCCGGGTTGTCCCAAAAGTGCTTTTCCAAAAGGCAACTGGACTTTCCTAGGGGTTTTGCTTCTTCAGTTCTTGGGAGATCACTTTTGGGACACTATTACTGATACCTTCTTTTCCCGTTTCCATATGTCCGACAACATATGTTAATGACCAATCCAATGTTTTCTTTAAAAAAAGGAAGAGCTGCTTAAGAGAGACCATGGTTTGTTTTTGATGGAGCATAGGAAATTGGTCTATAGGGTTGGTCCAACGGTAAGACCGTGTTTGTGTCCCCATGGAGGCACAAGCTGTAAATCAAGAGAGGAAAGAACTTTAATTTATCTCTTCCAAGAGATCAACTTTCAATCCTTCCTTTACTTGTAAGCGACACAAAGGTTTACAGTTCAACCTAAGCTCTGGGACAAGATCACCGTTTGACTTGCTTCGTGTTTTGGACACCCTCCCCAAAAAAGCAGTCTAATTTTTCTTCCAACCGTTTTCCCCTGTTGCCTCCAAGTTGAATTGCAAAACTCGCACGACGAGAAAATCCAGACATCACCTCCAAGAGGGTAGCACTAAAGTGGAATTTAGAAGGCGAGGAGGTGTGATTGGAATTAATAACAGCAACGACACAACAGGTTGAAGGAAAAACACGTCCCGAGTTTGAAAAGAAGCTTTACTATAAAAAGGGAAAAGAAAAAAAAAATAGAAAAGACACATTTTTTAAAATTCGATAGGATTTCCTTCGGAGGCGGATCGAGCGAAGATGGTGTTTTCGAGCTGAGTTTTCTTCACGTGCATTTTGATCAAGCCGGTGATGGTTTCATTCCCAAACGTTTCGGCAAGCTGCAGAGGGGTCAGGCCTGCCATGACACTGTTCACATCTGCGGCAGCGTTCAGCAATAAATAGCAAATTCCCAGATGCCCTGAAGAGAAAAGAAAGAAGGAAAGAAAGAAAGAAAGAAAGAAAGAAAGAAAGAAAGAAAGAAAGAAAGAAAGAAAGAGAAAGAAGAAATAAATAAATAAATAGTGGTCCCTTTAATATAGCATATTTTTTTCGTATTGATATAAATTGCCATCCTATATGTAGACTGGACAAAGGAAAGCTAGACATTTTTTTCACTAGGACAATGGCATTGGAAGAACCAAATTCCCAAACTATTCCAATCCAAATTGTCTTCCCTCATTTGAAAACCTCACTGAGTTGCTCAAATCTCAAATCTCCACGGCCTCACCCGATTTCCAACAACAGCCGTTTATGCTAGATTTAGTCTGTTTATAACCCAGCCGCCTTTTATGCCTGCCCTGAAATCCAGCTTCCACTGAGGCTAACAATAAGGGAGAATTATGACCATCAAAACATTCTTTTATGAAGGATCTGGGGAAGAAAAGCCAATAAAAATGCCCATTATTCAAGCATCAAATAAAAATTTAGGACCATATCTTGAAGAAGATATAATTCAATGGCCCAAGTTGACAGAATACAGAATAATAAAGTTGGGAGGGACCTTGGAGGTCATCTAGTCCAACCCTCTGCTCAAGCACGAAACCCTATACCATTTCAGACAAATGGCTCTCCAGTCTCTTCTTAAAAACTTCCAGTGTTGGAGCATTCACTGCTTCTGGAGGCAGGTTGTTCCCCTGGTTAATTGTTCTAACTGTCAGGAAGTTTCTCCTTAGTTCTGGGTTGCTTCTCTCCTTGGTTAGTTTCCATCCGTTGCTTCTTGTTTTGCCTTCAGGTGCTTTGGAGAATAGCTTGATTCCCTCTTCTTTGGGGCAGCCCTTGAGATATTGGAATACTGCTATCATGTCCCCCCTCATCCTTTTCTTCATTAAACCAGACATACCCAATTCCAGCAACTGTTCCTTGTATGTTTTAGCCTCCAGTCCCCTGATCATCTTTGTTGCTCTTCTCTGCACTCTTTCCAGAGTCTCAACATCTTTTTTGCATCGTGGTGACCAAAACAGGAAGCAATATTTAATATTTACCATAAACAATTGCCAAGTGCAATGGAGTTGCCCCATCGCACTGGGGATTTTGGACGTTCACATTAATTCCAGGGTAGTGTAAAAGGAGAGAAATCAGGTGCATTTTGCCAGTGTTCACTGCAGCATGGAGTGGGGTGTTCCCATTTTCGGCTGCTTGGTTTATGTCAGGTACGGGGAGAGCCTGCAAATCAAGACATGCGAGGCATCAGCAGGAAAGAACATAACTTGCCATCTCCAATACAAGGTAACAACTTACAATTTTGGGTTGAGCCCAGTGGTGGGATTCAAATACGTCAACAACTGGTTCTCTGTGTGGATGCCGCTTCCGGAAGTCCATTCTGGGCCTGGGCAACAAAAAATTAACTACCAATTCTGCCAAAGTGGTGCAAACCGGCTGAATCCCACCACTGGCTGAGCCCAGAATGTCTGTTGCGAAGCGAAACGTTTTGCCCCCATTTTACCAACTTTTCTTGCCACAGTTGTTCAGTAAATCACTGCTGTTGTGAAATTAGCAACACAGCTGTTGAATGAATCTGGCTTTGGAATTTTTTCAGAGGAAAAGGCAAAGAAAGTCCCGTTGTGTTTTGAAAAGCACCTTTGGGACAAGTGTCAGGAAATTTCACCTCAACAACAGGGGAAGGACAAAGAAGGACAGAGAGGAGGATGGGAGGCCACAGAGAGATCAAAGGCAACCGGGAGGACAGGGGCCCGGGGGGGGGGGGAAACAGAGGAGAACTGGGACAGGAAGATGGAAGGACATGGGAGGACTGAGAAGAACAGAGGGAAGACAGGGAGAAGAGCAATTTAAAATCTGCAAATATCCCCATCTGTATCTCTTCTAGTCTGATGTTCTTCAGGTCTTCTGTTTGACAACTCTTCACCCCCTAACAAGTTGGGGAAAAGCTGAGCCAGACTTTGCACAATGTTTGGAAATCTGCAATCATTCAGGTTTCTTGCAGGCAACTGACCATTTCAAGAAAATACTCCAGAATCTTAGACTGGTCATAGATAGTGGCTAAAAATAAGAGATTGCGGTTCTTTTCATCCACGATGCTCAGGTCCAGCTTCTGACTTCTGACCAGATAATCCAAGACATCAGCATAGCCCCACTGGACGGCCTGCAGAGCTCTTAGAAGGAGAAAAGCAAAGATATTAATCGTTAAAACCGTTTGCAAAACAACAACAACAAAAACCCAGCATCAAAGAGATTTTAATGTAAGAAGTAAAATCCCCCAGCTTTGGGAGTTGATCTCTATCACCCTCCAGTGGTTACAAGGCACAATTGCGGCTACAGCCTGAATTCACGAGTGAATTCATAAACCTAAGTTTGCAAACCACGGTTAATGACTCCGGCTTGTTCTTCCACCCAACTTTTTGGTCACAGAAGATGTCTAATTAGGAATAATTAAAACAGTCTTGACTCTGTTGCTTGTGAGTGCAACTCAGACAGGAGTTAGCAAACTAAAGTGACTGAACAGCCACTTGCCTGAAATGGTATAGGACAGGTTCTCCTGCTTGAACAAGAGGTTGGACTAGAAGACCTCCAAGGTCCCTTCCAACTTTGTTATTGCTATTATTATTGTTATTAAATAGTCTACAGCCAAAATAAAAAAGCGTATTAGTTTAAAATGCTGTGTAAGATTTTTGCATCAGCTCTAGTTTAAAATAGGACGCAGGCAAGCCTCGACTTATGACTGCAAACTGTGGTCGTAAGTCAAGGATTACTTGCAGAAAATTCATATTGTCAAGGAGATTCTTTAGGTGTCAATCTCCTTACCTTTCTTTCATGACTTCCGTGGCTTCTTGTCTGGGAGACGAAGTGGGAACCTTGATGGCTGCTTCAGAAGAGATCTGGGTACTGACCAATGCCTTATAGAACTAAATTTCAAAATTGGGACACTTAGTATGTGAACGTGCATCCTAACTCTCAAATATCTCTAATAGTCAATAATCTAAAAAGAAATTATTATTGTAAGAAAAGCACATACAGTCACAGCTGGGACAGTTATTTATAAATGGAAGAGAATATTCGTAGCTCAGAGGTGAACTGTGGGGTCCTTGGTGCTCTCTGAGCTTGGTTGTTCTCTTGCAGACATTTCATTACCCTACTAGGTAACATTATCAGTGTTAGAAGGGAGTGGGGTTTGTGGAGTAGAAGAGGAGGAAGAGGAGGAGGAGGAGGAGGAGGGGAAGGAGGAGGTAAAGGAAGACTGTGGAGTCCGTGGCGCCCTCTGAGCTTGGTTGTTTTCTTGCAGACATTTTATTACCCTACTAGGTAATTTCATCACTGCTAGGAGGGAGTCAGGTTTGCTCTCCGTTTATTATCCCTTCTAGCATTGATGATGTTACTTAGATGGGTAAAGAAACATCTACAAGGAAACCACCAAGTTCAAATAGCACCAAGGACACCACAGTCATCTATCTTGTTCCCTTTCCTAAAGATATTTTGCTTTGCTTCAAAAGTCCCTACATGCAAGTAGAAATTTTTCCAGGGTGTTTAGACCACCCTGTTTCCAAAATGGTGATTTTTGTTCAGTGTTTCTCTCTGTTCTACTTGAGGAGGCACCAAAGCGTTGCTCAAGAATGTACCACAAAAGCATTGAGGGTCCAAGAACAGGATGTGGGGAAAGCCAAACTAAATAGCAACCATAATTAAATAAGATCCCCATTCCCCCCCCCACCCACCCACTCTTTAAGGTCAAAGTTAGGTTTGATATGTTATGCTTCTGATGGACTCCTGAAATGCTTCAAAAATATAAATCCACAGTAAACATCTTTTGCTTAAATAAAAAAAGAGGAGTGGTGGGTGGGGTCGACCTATTCTCCAGAGCACCTGAAGGCAGGACAAGAAGCAACAGATGGAAACTAATCAAGGAGAGAAGCAACCTAGAACTAAGGAGGAATTTCCTGACAGTTAAAACAGTTAATCAGTGGGACAACGTCTCTCTAGAGGTCGTGGGTGCTCCAACCCTAGAGGTTTTTAAGAAGAGATTGGACAGCCATTTGTCTGAAAAGGTATAGGGCTTCCTCCCTGAGCAGGGGGTTGGACTAGAAGACCTCCAAGGTCCCTTCCAACTCTGTTATTCTGCTAACAAGTAAAAATGCAAAAAGCTAGGACCGGCTGAGAAAGATGTTGCTGCTATAGCAAATGGCCAACAATTCAGAGACACAAAAGGTTAAACCTCACCCCCCTTGACGCTAATGAGATGCTGTCCCAATTTTATCCAGCCCTCTAACCCCCAAATGCTGCTTAATGCTGGTTTTCTGGGTGTTCTTAAACCACACCAGTATATGCAGTCTCACACATGGACAACGTTAAAAACAACAACATATAAGCCAGTTTGCAACCCTGCCCATCCCACCCCCAACCCCCATTTCCCACCTGGGTTTTTACCTTGACCATAGCGTGCCAGAGATTTGCAAGGGCAAATTCCCGGATCGCCAGCAGCCACTGAGTGATCTGAGGGTTTTTGCTGGGGTACTGTATGTTGGAAAGCATTTCCCTGTATCCGGATGTGTTGGGCGAAGACATGAGGTTCAAGTAATCTAGGAAAATGTAGGGGTGCTGGTTACTGGCCAACCCCACCGGATATTCACTCAGGGCGACCAAGAGAATGGAACTCAACTCCGAAGGCTGAAGGTCCTTAGAGTCCAATCCTTTGAGGAAGGCAAGATGCACTTCATCTTCAATCACCCCCAGTTCCAGTTCCAACAGCTGTTGCTTCTGGTCGTACTGGAGCTCAAACAGCCAGAAGTGTGCAAATTGTACAAAGTTTTCTCGGGCGGCGCTCCAGTGGCCCAGCTCGCGAAGGACACCCTGCGCTCTCTCCTGCCAAGCTGCTACTGAAGTGCTGTCAAAGTAGCTGAAGATCTTCTCCAAGAGCTGGTTTTCCGGTAAGAAATGCAGATTGAGGGATTCCTTGGAAGACACAACCCTGTTGGATACCTGGCTCAGGTCTGGCAGGACTTTTTTTCCAATGTGGGGAAGCGGGACAGCGTTGAACAGAGGACAGTTCCTGATCTTAAGGGAGAAGAATTCCTTCTGCAAATGGCTATTATCGGCAGGAGAGGGATCCATCAAGGTATGGATATTTGGAAGGTGAAGGATCTCTTCTGGCTGGTCCAAGGCGCTTCCCTGCAGCTGCTGTCCCAAGTCCCCTTCCTGGGCCATAGTGAGAGCAGAGAGGAGAGTCACTCGATCCTCGACACTCTGCATTGTCCTGAAGCCCAGGGTACATTGGCGGCCTCCGTTTGCAGCATAAGTCACGATTTAATGGATCTCCATGAGTACCTGCGACCGAGCAAAAATAACAGGAAAATACAGGCAAGTAAACAAGAGCTGGACCAGAACCAACAGCTGGAAACTTTACAGGAGAAGATTCCCAACTAACGATAAGGAGGTGATGACACTTCAAAGGCTTACATTGCTTGACTTTCACGTTCCTCCGCTTTCCTTCTACAACTAGATTACTGCTACTTAACCCTTTAGCTTGCTAGTTAAGTCTTGCACGTCCCTTGCCATCCTCCAGCAAATGAAATAGCAGAATATTTATTAGAGAACAATCACTTATTCCGACCAATAAGACTTCAGGAAGCATTCTGTGATGTCACAACCCAGTGATGGAGCACCCACAACTTCTGAAGGCAAAGCCATTCCTGGGTTCTCCTTCGTTCTAGGTTGCTTCTCTCCTCGATTAGTTGCCATTAACCCATGCTCAGCATCCTTCATGGTTTGTTTGCGAATGTTAACTGTTGCCTGGCAAAAATCTAGCAATATGTATGATCGGAGAGAAGAAATAAATAGGGAAGACTTCAATTCTATACTCTGGTGTTGCAGGAACCCATCGCCTGGAATTAGCAATAGCACTTAGACCAGGGGTCTTCAAACTTGAAGTCCACAAGTCATAAAAGGGCCAAGTCCCAGAATTCCTCAGCCAGGCATATAGTATGCCTGGCTGAGGAATTCTGGGACTTGGCCCTTTTATGACTTGTGGACTTCAAGTTTGAAGACCCCTGGTCTAAGTGCTATTGCTAATTCCAGGCGATGGGTTCCTGCAACACCAGAGTATAGAATTGAAGTCTTCCCTATTTATTTCTTCTCTCCGATCATACTGAGGAATTCTGGGAGTTGAAGTCCACAAGTCATAAAAGGACCAAGTTTGAAGGCCCCTGACTTAGACTTATATACTGCTTTACAGTGCTTTACAACCCTCTTTAGAGTCAGCCTATTGCCCCCCAACAATCTGGGTCCTCATTTCCCCGACCTTGGAAGGATGAAAGGCTGAGTCAACCTGGTCAGGATCGAACTCCTGGAGTGAGCAGTGACTTAGCTTGCAATGCTGCATTTTAACCACAGCACCACCACGGCCCTTACCTGGTGATTCAACAGGATAAGTCTAGACAGGTGCATTACCTTAACAAATTGACTTAGCCATAGGTAAATATTGCAGGCTCCAATTTCAACAGGATTTACTAGGTGACATGTTATACCTTGCCCGTTGCTCGTGATTCTCTGATGATTCACTCATGTTCCATGTTTAGTCACCGGGCATGCACATCATGTACACGTTGGGTTACTTTGCTTTCTGTGGCTTGACTTGGTGTGCATTGTGTGCAAAGCTAACCCTTTTATTAAGTGTAGGAACCAGTATATTGTATGAACTCGGAAAATAAATGAACTCAAGTTACTTGGCTGCTAGTGTGTGGTGTAAACATGGGTAGCCTAAACCCAGAAAATGGAATTGCTTCAGTAAACCAGGAGGTCAACATAAACACTCGTAGAGTTGTCTTGGTTTCCGCTTCATGTGGGATGTCAGCCCAGGTGTTGTGGTTTGCTCAGGAACCATGACTGAACAAGCCATGGCTTGAGCAATGGGTGAACCCAAGTTAATTGCAAAATTAAAGCAGATAACGGGATGAACCATGCTCAGTTGCTGGATTGAATTTCCCACACACACACACATTACCTGTAGTCGGACGTTGAATAGCATGGAAGTGACCAAGTACAGGTAGGAGAATCTGATGCGGAATTTCCAGGCCAGTTCAAAGAAGACAAGGAGGGCCCATGTCAGTCCTTTACAGAAGATCCCGTAGAAGCTGGCGATTGCTGACTGCGAAAGCTGGGCAGCCAAAATAGATAGCAGCACAATTGCCATTTTCATTGTTGACCTGCCAAGCCACGTCTTATAGGCTCCGCCTCCCACCTGCAGAAAGATGGATGTCCACAGATCAAAGCAATGCAGTCAAAGAGGTGACCGGGATGCTATCTTGCTGCTGATGACAATGGCATGACATTCCTATGTCACAATGCGCTACTCCGCCTCGACCAATCCAGTCTTTCTACGACAATAGTTCCCTCCCATCCAGTTCATTGTCCAAAAGGCAAAGAAGGAAAACCAGGGGATGAGTTACACTGGCTACCAGGAAGTGGAAGTTGATGGACAGTTGGGAGAACAAGACCCTGTAATTCTAAAATTACAGGGAGAATTGATGTTAGTCAGATGAATGTTCTGGATTTCAAGAGAGTTGGACTCAAGAGGTGGGAGAACGTGACCGTGTAATTTTAAACCTCCAGTGATGGAGCACTCACAACTTCTGAAGGCAAGCCGTTAATTGTTCTGATTGTTAGGAAGTTTCTCCTTAATTACAGGTCTCTTCTCTCCTTGATTAGTTTCCATCCATTGTTTCTTGTCTTGCCTTCTGGTGCTTTGGAAAAGGAAGAACTGATGTTAGCCAGATGACTGTTCTGGATTTCAAGAGAGTTGACCTCCACAAGCAACGGGAAAAAGTAGAAGGACTCCATAGGTGGAGATCTTGAAGAGGGAAACTGCTGATGAAGATGGGAAGTTCTGAAACATGAGGGGATTAAGGCCCCACATCAGACGAGGAAGAAAGAGGAAGAAAAGGGGAAGACCGCTGATAACATCAGTATGGTTGCATAAAGATCTTTCTGATAACTAAGAAGCAAAATGGATGAGTTTGAAAAATGGAAATAGGGGCATGTAACAAATGCAGATTATCAGGAAATGGCCTGGATCTAGAAGAAGACCAAAACCTGGAATGAGCTGAAGCTTGTGAAGAATACCAAGAATCACAACAAAAGGTATGTGCAGAACAAAAAGGAAATCTGCAAAACGGTTGGTTAACTGATTAGATAACCTTTATTGTCGTTTTAATGGCACGCATTAAAAATGAAATTTAGTTGCTTCCTTTCAATGTGTACACATACATAACACACATTTAAAACATACTATATACAACATACGTGTAGACCAGTGGTGGCGAACCTATGGCACGGGTGTCAGAGGCGGAACTCAGAGCCCTCTCTATTGGCACGTGCGTCGTCGTCCCAGTCCTAGGCCTTCAGCTGGGTTTTATAAAACCTTTTTGCTTTAGGCCACCGCCACCATGTGAAAAAAAAAAAAAGGTTCAATCAGTCAATTTCAACCTCACGGGAAAAAAAGTTCTTGCAAAGTTGGAATTGATTGATTGAACTTTTTAGTCCCACCCAGTCTGCTGTTACCACTGCAGTCACGCCCACCCAATTGGCCATGCCCACCCAATGGGCCACACCCAGCCAATGAGCCACACCCACCCGGCACTTGACGATGCATAAGTGGGTTATGGGTTGCAGTTTGGGCACTCGGTCTCTAAAAGGTTCGCCATTACTGGTATAGACCTACACCCTTACATATAAGTAACATATAAATAATCACTGCCACTGGTTGGAGAAGATGGCAAGAAGGAGACGGGGAACAAGATGAAAGGCTTAATTCCCTTTTTGCATCTGTATTTTGGTCAACTTTGTTAGAACTTGTTCCAAGGAGAGGAGCAGACAGTAGAGAAATGTATGTCAACATTGGCAGGGAAGTGATGAAAGAAGACCAAGTGGCTTTGAACGAAGGTAGATGGATCAGATGTCAAGACACTAAAGAATCTGGCAGACGTGCTCTCAGAATCCCTGACTGTAATCTTTGAGAATTCCTGTGAACATGGGAAGCATCAGAAAGTTGGAGAAGAGCTTATATGCTTTCAGTCTTTTTAAAAAATAGAAAAGTGGTCCTTATAGAGATCTCAATCCTTGGGAAACTCCTAGAAGAGGTGATCAAGCAGAGTTCACAAACCACACAAAGGAACAAGGTGATCCCCAAAACCCAGCATGAATCAAATGCAAATAGATTAATGATAACAACAGAGAAAATGGAAGCATACTGTACTGTAGGTCCATTAAATATTTACAAAAAATGTTTTACTTGAACCTGTAAACATCAGGGCCAATTATAACTGGATCTGTAACTTTATTTTTTTATCTTTAAAAGGCAAACAGAGATCTTACAAAAGATTACGGTATATAAAAATCGTTCTTATTCTCTTCTGTTTCACGTTCGGCAACGTGTGTCGGTTTTTCCAGAATTACATCAGCGTGATTACTCTGGCAGTCACACCCATATAAATTAATCACGCCTTTTGTTACCATGCTAAAAATCCCCTACGGAACAGCTCCAGCTGTATTTTAAATGGATTTCCTTTTTGTAAAAAAGAACTAGCTGTCCTTCTTTCAGAAATTGAGGAAATAACATTACCAGGCTTACAATACAGAGCAACTTTATAGGGGAACAAGGTTTCCTCCCCCCTAATAAAGGGTGGTTGAGACATTCAGTTTCATTTACACAACTTTGAGTGGTTTTTGTTATTGTTCGACTATCTGACGTAAAACAATGAGAAAGTGATTTAAGTTACTGGAACGTTTCACCTCCGGAGTCCAGGGATACGGAAAGATAAACAAAAGTGTGTTAAACAATGTTAATGTTCCAGCTTCACATTCAGCTGTAATTAGGCTTGTTTATTAAGTTATTTATTAATCAAATTTGTATAGCTGCTTATCTCGCCAAAAGCAGCTCTGGACATTATAAAAATGACATTTAAAAAAATCAAGATATTGAAACAGATATACATTTTTAAATTGTTCTCCCAGCAAGCTCTGAGTTAGTTGAACGTGGCATGTAAATGCCAATCAGACACACAAGATTTAAATCTCTTTAAAAGTTTTATTCCCCTTGTGAGGTTTTAGTAGCAAAACAAGTGCTGTGATTTATTCTAGGCATAAAACTTGGCCCTTTTATGACTTGTGAACTTCAACTCCCAGAATTCCTCAGCCTATTTTAAAAAAATCACAGCAACGTACCATTTCATTGGCAAATGCAGTTAAAATATGCGCCAAATGTGGATACTATTAATACAAAAAGTGGGCACGTAAGGTGGCCATTGTTGCTAGAGAAAGAATGTGGGGTCCTTGGTGGGCTTTGAGTTTGGATGGCTTTCTTGCAGACGTTTTATTACCAAACTAGGTAACAGCATCAGTGCTAGAAGGGAGTGGGCTTTACAGAGAGGAGGAGGACGACGAAGACTATGGAGTCCTTGGTGCTGAGCTTGGTGATTTTCTTGCAGATGTTTCATTACCAAACTAGGCAACATCATGTTATCAACACAACATGAAGGTTCATAAACTATGCTTACAATT